GGAGAAGTAAATGACAGCGTTTCTGGGTTGAGTATAACTTCCCATTGGTCAGAAATAGCGGTGTACTAAGTGTGGCGATTGCACTGTAAGACTTGAATCTATAAAACTAAAATCACACAGGTCAATACTACAAGCAACTTGGAGGGCCTGAAAGAAGGTGCACAGACTGTAGAAAAAACCCAAATTTTTGATATTTCAGTGATTCCAAAGAACATTCTAGTTTTTTTTAACTGCAGAAAATCGGTGGTATTTTCACATTCATGACGTTTCTATCCAATTTCAGTACCCACATTTTTGTGAGGAAAAAATGTTTTAACAATGCAGGAGGAATTCTTAAATTAACTGCAATGTTTGATGAGAAAATTTGGTATTTTTAAGGTACCATCAAATCAGGTTTTTGTTAAAATTTTTTTTAATCAGTATTGTTTTTGGAAGTAATATACGTTGAAACTCTTGAACTAATAGTCTCAAAAACTCTTAGAGGACAGTCTGACAGCACGTATTCCTATTGTTTTAAATAAATAACATGGTTTTGAATAGTAAATTCAATTGTGGATTGTTGACTGTGTCTTCATCAAAAGTGTTACTCCCTCTCAGGGTCTCCGGTGAAGACCTTCAAGAGTTTGGTTTTTTCCTCCCAGAATATTGGAAGGTAGAATTGTAAATTCATAGAACTTACTTTATAATGGTGTACCTCAGCAGCTGCCTTTCGATTTATGCCAAGTCCTTACTGAGTTTATACTTGAATAGTAAATATGTCTTCTGAGTTTTACAGTGTCCTAAACTCAATGCACATGTTTTTCTTCCTTGCCTACCCTTTCTTGTTTGTAGTTCATTAAAATGTCCTATTACAGAGCCGATTTCCTTCCTGGCCGTACTTGTTGGGGTGCTGGATTTTTCCCATGTCTTTAGTCTTCCATAAATTCAAAAATATATATAAATATATATATATATATGTTCTCTTCTTTAGCTTGTGGTGAATACAGTAATTTGCATTGAAGAAATAAAACATTTGTTGCCTTTTTTACTAAGATTTCACAACTTTCATTGGTGCCTGCTGCTAAAGTCCCAAGATAGCACACTCTCAGGTTTAAGGGCTACTTTCCAGAGTAGGAGAGAATCAAGTATTAGAATTAAGAAGCAAGGTTAATCCTTCTCCATCCAGCAAATCTTTATTGAACATCTAGTATGTTCTGGGCACTGTGCCAATGGGGTCTACAAAACAGATCTATTCATGGAGCTTGCTTACATCTGGTAGTGGGAAGAAGATGGTATACTTGTGTTTATTGTAATAAATTTTTAGTGCCTTGAAAGAAAAAAATGGGGTACTATAAGAGAGAATGAGGGGGACTTAGCTGAGATGGGGGGAGAGGGCAGAAGAACCCTCATTGAGAAAGTAATATTAGTAAAAACTCAAAGGAAGAAATAGGACATGGCCAGGCAGAGAGACTGAGAACAGGCTTCCAGCTTCCAGGACTGGGTGGCTACGTGAACACAACATACAGCCCACGGCCCTAACTCAGGAGGAGAGGAGCTCAGGGGGCTTCAGGGTTTGATGGGAGGCCCCTGTGGCTCGTGGCATAGGAACTGAGAGGGTGGAATTGCATGTCCCGGTGGTGGAGAGTCGGGACTGCTCATGAAGCCGTGTGAAGGATTTGTATTTTATCCTAAATGCAACAGGAAACAACGGTGTTTAAGCACGGACGTGCTTTGATAAATAATTTCAAAAGATGGCTCTGGCTTCTAAGTGGAGAATGGGGCAGAGGGCAGGATAGAGGGTGAGCAAGAAACGGAAATAGCAAGACCATCAGGGAGACTGAAGTAATTCAGCTGAGAGGTGAAGGGAATCTAAGTTCAGTGGAGACTGGGAAAAGTAAATGGAATCAATAGCTACTCTGTTGGTAGTCAGAGGAATGCAGGAGCCTATTAGCTTCCTAGAAATCTACTCTTGAACTTTGTTCATAAGATGGCCCACTTTTCCAGTTCTTAACGTCTAGACCCTAAAACAAGGATTTCATTATTATTCAGGATGGAGGCAAAGTTGCAATCTTGGAGCTGCTTCCAAGGGAAAGACATTATTCCACATAAAAGGAAAAACTAGCAAGCTAAATGGGAGAGAGTAAATGATAGGTCTCTATTCCTCATGGCCTGTAAGCATTTTAAGAGGGATGGACAGCGAGACTTTTACTGATGATACATTGTACCAGAGAGAACAATGTAATTTACATATTTTTTAATTTTTTGATTTTTTGTTTATTGTCAAGTCATTTGCATTAGGTTTTTTTTTTATCCTCACATGAAGATATGTTTGATTAATTTTAGAGAGAGGAAGGGAGAGTGAGAAACATTGATCGGTTACCTCCCGTAAGTGCCCGGCCTCAGATTAAACCCGCAACCTAGGTATGTGCCCTGACAGGGAGTTGAACCCACAACCTTTGGTGCACAGGATGATTGTCCAACCAACTGAGCCACGGGGCCAGGCATGTAATTTATATTTTTTATTTCCCCCAGGATTCCAGCCAAAAAATGTTTTTAATGAATTGCCACCTTTTTTGAATGATACTGATAAAGCAAGGTAAAGTTGTGATGCTGTTTGCAGAATGCCAGGAAACCAGTCACAAAAACAATTTCACTTGCAGAAAATGACTTTTCATGAATTTCAACCATCTTGAATATGTATCCATGAAAACAAACTATCCAACTAAGATCAACTTTCAAAGATTGTACATTTTTTGCTATTCATTTAAAACAATTATCAATGCTAACCCACAAAGGATTTAAGAAACATTTATTAATTAGAAACATTTAATATAGTCAAGTAAATTAATTTTTCTACAAAAAGGCCACCATTCTGTTTTTTGTTTTTTGTGTTTGTTTGTTTTTTCAGAAAAGTATCCTGTTCTACTTTCAGTATTGTTTGACAGCTCAGGGGTTGGGGCCTTATATAACATGACGAGTAAAACGGGAGTGAGCCTAGACTCAGGTTCCAGCCCCACGATGCAACTTACCACACGTATGCAAGTACTTCCAAGCCTTGCTTTCCTAACCTGCAAAATCAAGATAATACCTCATAGAATTGTTGTTTTTTATCACAGAGCTTCAAATACTTTACTTTTTTATGCACTTCTATTGTATTTTTGGGGTGACACTGGTTAACAATATTATACAGGTTTCAGGAGCACAATTCCACAACACATCTGTACACTATTGTGTTCACCTCCCCAAGTTAAGTCTCCATCCATCACCATTTAAACCCCCCTATACCCTTCTCCACCTCCCCCCACATTTCAAATATTTCAAAAAGAGACAATGTATTTATAAATGCTTAGCACCAGTACTTGGAACATGCCTGAGTAAGTGGTTACCTATGATTATTACCTTTATTCCTATTTGTTACAGCCAGAGATGGTGAAGTGAATTAAAAGATGGGCACAAATTCTTTGACATTTCTCCCATCTATAATTGAGGTGTATGTCCCCTCCCCTTAAGTCTAAGGTGGGCTCTGTGTCTGCTTGACCAATATAATTCAGTGGGAGTGGTACTGTGCCAAGTTTCTAGTCCCAGGCCTTTAGGTAACTGGCAGCTTCCACTTCCTGTCTCTTGAGGTATTTGCTGCTGGACCCAGCCACCACGGTATGAGAAAAACCAAGCATCCCTGGGAAGACCTGCATGGAGAGGAACTGAAACCCCTCCACCCCAATCCCCTAACCAACATCCGCACGGAGCTCCCAGCCAAGAGCCAGCACTAATTTTCCAGCCTCTTCTGGGAAGAGGCTCCCTGGCCCATTCCATGTGGAGTGGAACAGGGACCAGCTGTGCCTACCAAGTCCTGCCCAAATTGCAGATTAGTGAGTAAAATAATTGTTTTAAGCCACTAAGTTTTTTGAGTGGCCTGTAACAGGGATAGATAACCAGAACAGATGAAACCACCGTTTCCTCCTCCACTCTGACCTCATACATGATTTAGCAGTAGAAAGGGTGGGCAAGTTCATTTCGTCCAAAAGAAATAAGTGGTTTATGGAGAAAGTAGGGCATGAGGAAATTTGCTGAGTTTGCTTTGAGCCGTGTGACCAGTGCTTGACTGAACAAACTCAGCTGGGTTATTCAGCAAACCTTTTCAGATGCCTGCCTTCTATTTGGTGTTAAGCAGAGTTAGCACCTCTGAGAATTGATCTCACCCTGGATACAATTATGTCTTGATAACAATCGCCATACCTTAAATCCCTGTACCACATACCACACATTTGGCCAAAAGGTATAATCCAACCCAAGAGACAATGCTCAGTGGTCCAATCGAGAAATCAGCTCTAGGGAAACTTTTTGTCAAAATTTGGCAGTTTGGGGGGGAACTGGTTTCTGATCGCGTTCTAAGGGGTTCGTCTTTCATCTCGCCTAATTAGCCAAGAAACCAGTTACTGCCAAATAATCTTTATGATGTGAAGATTTATAATGTACAAGACATCGACTTCTTGCTGTGAGGCTTTCCTTCCACGAGAGGGAGTAGCTGCCTTGCAAATCTGACGTTGGCAATTACCTAATTCAAAAGCTAAGGATTGGCTCAAGCGATTTGCAATTTATAGTACCCTTAAGTCCCGCTTTAAACTACTTAATCTTCTTATTGTAATTTGAAAATGAGGAAATTGAGGCATCTGGCTTGGATTCCTTCCATAAAACGAGGGCGAGCTGAGATCGAAACGTCTCACAGCGCGAGACCCCGTCAGCTCCCCCTCGGCGCCCACTGAGGCCCAGCTTCCCCCGCTTCGCGACTCTCCCTCCTTTTCCCTCACTTCCTCGCCCTACGTTTGGCCCGCCCCTGGCATCAGGCAACACGCGTCTGTGATTGGCTGTCGGAGGCCGCGGCGGCGGAAGGGGTTGCGGTGACCATGGTGACGGGAGGCGGGCGCGGCGCCTGAGGGTCGCTAATAGCCGCTAGCCCCCCGCGGTGGCTGCCGCCGCTCACGCAGAGGCCCCGCGGGGCCCAGAGGCCCGGCAGGCGCGTGGCTAGGCTGTGATCCTGCCGTGGCCTCGGCGGCAAGGCTCCCCCCCGATGCCGGTTGGGGCCTCGAGGAGCAGAACGGAGGTTGGGCCCGGGCCGCGGGCCGGGTAGGAGGCCGATTGGCCGGCTCACCCGCGCGGGGTGGATGCGGCGGCGATGGACGCCCAGGAAGAGAGCTTCGCGCTGTCTTCGTAAGTGATGCTCCGGGGGCCTGGGCACGCTGGTGCTCGGTTTCGGCCTCTGCCCTTTGAAACGGGTGTCCTCTGGGGTGGGGGACTGTCAAGGCTCCGCCCCAATTCCCGGTGTCGATTCTGTGCGACCGCTGGGTTCAGGCCCCGGAGGAGAGGCGTGCGGGGCGGGTGTCACGCATTGATCAACTTCTCCATCACAATCCCCTCTCCCCCATCCCCGCCTCCAACCGTTTGTCATCACCAAAACCTGGCGGCAGGTTTGAGCTGTCGAGGCCCGACCACGGATTAGAGTACCCTCCGCCACCAGGGACCCTGATCTAATTGCTCCCTGCCCTGGCCGGTATCTCTCCCGCGCCAGGTTCACGCTCACAAGCAGATAGCTGTGGATAGCGAAAATGCGGTGAGGACCCACAGGAAATAAATGTGGAGGAGCCTTAAAGATGTCCTATGCCACCCTTTATTTGTCTCTTTTGTAATTCCTGTGTCACATCGGGTTTGTCGCAGATGCGTTCAGTGTATTTTATTCTGTTTGGAATTGTTAGATTGGACAATAATCATTTTAATTGTTGAAGCTGAGTAATAGCAAGTTCATTTTGCTATTCTTTTTTCCTTTTTCGCACCTTTGAAAATGTCCGTAATAAATTTTTTAAAAAAACGATTTGAAACAGCACCTAATCAGGCATGTTTTTTTCAGCTCTTCCGCCTCTGATGCAGAATTCGATGCCGTGGTTGGATATTTAGAGGACATTATCATGGGTAAGCTTCCTTGCCGGTTTAACCTGTGCTCTTTACTTCTTAGACCCTTGCTTTTAAAGACACTGACATCAATTTGGAGTGTTAATTTTTAAAAGAGAGAAAAGATCAAGCTGCATATAACTTTTAATAATAGCACAATGAAATATTAAGCTTTACTGTGATTTGTCTTAGAGGCAGACAGCCCAGTATTCCTTTAAACAACTAATACCCACAGAATCAGGAGTCAGGAAGGGAGGGACTTTTCAGGAAATCGGGCATCTAGAAGTTATGGGGCTCTTGGTAAAACTTCAGGAAATATTGACCAACTTTATATCAGAGACTAAAAGCAATTAACGTTTTTATGACATAAACCACAATATAATACCATAATCATAGCACACATGTCCATGAAGAAAACACGGTGTCATACTTTTAGCTGGTTCTGTATTTCCTGTTTGTGGGTTCATGGTGGCATCCGTAAGTCCTACTAAGTACTTGGCACCAAAGGTTTAAGACAAATATGTGGAAGAAAAAAACTTAGAATTTGAGAAAATTTTGTCTATTGTCTTTAAGTTTTCTGAGAATGAGGAAAAGAACACTGTTATTTAGTGTTACTGTGTTCCTCATCTCGTTTAGTCTGAAAATCACTGACCAAGTTTTTGTATGTTCAGGTGCAGTAAAGGTTCATCCCCTTAAATTAACCCTGTAAATACAGATGTTTCACCATTAAGCTCTCATTCCATGTCGATCTGAGGATTTGGGGGATACTGAGGAATACTTTGAGTTCTTTTGCCCTTTATGAGTACCCTGTACCCTGTGGGAAAATAAACCCTCTGTAATCCCAGGGTATTTACCGCAAAGCCTAGGTCGTTTGTGAAGCTTTCCTTTTATTTTTAGATATACCATCCTAATTCAGTTGTTAGAATTTCATATTTTCTAACATTTAAGTGTTTGCTATAAACTAATCTCTTTGCATGAATGCTCATGTAAATTCCACCTAGCAATCCTATGTAATAGGAACTATGATCATTCTCATTTTCCAGTTGAAGAAACTGGGTATTGTGCCCAAGGTCACAGTTCTAAGTGGCTGAGGTGGGATTTGAATGCAGGCAATTGAGCCTCTGTCAGAGCCCATACATTTTATTCACTACTGTTTCCACCACTGCTGCTGAAATTAAGTTCAGAGAACCGTTTCATTCCTTTGTGGAAAAGTAATGTGAGGGGGGGTTCCAGCCCACCCGGTATGGGTATGTGTAAAATGAACTGGACAATGGTGGTGGTCATGTCTGTGCAACAAGTGAAGGTGCTTAGTGCCCCCAAAGTGTACACTTAAAAATGGTGAACAGCCCTGCTGGCGTGGCCGTTTTAAGTTGTGTATGTTTCAGTACTACTTAAAAACCAGTAATGAAGAGACTGGATTGGTCTACTTCAACTTCGGTGTCCCATTTAACACTTCCTTGAAACACAGTTTTCTCTCTCCTGGAGACTGACCATTGCAAAACCAGTTCTGGCATGTAATTCCTGCCTATTTATAAATCGGAGTGGTTTTTAGTCTGCATTAAAAAGAATAGTTCTTTTTAGATGATGAGTTCCAGTTATTACAGAGAAATTTCATGGACAAGTACTACCAGGAGTTTGAAGACACAGAAGAAAATAAACTGACCTACACGCCTATTTTTAATGAATATGTAAGTGGATTTCTGTTTCTCTTGTCAGAGATCGGGGTTTCATAGTGAATTTAGAATCAAAAGATGCTGAAATTTGCTGGACTTCTAAAACCTGCCACCAGATTTTAGAATCTGGTTTAGTTCTCCTGTTGCTTTCCTCCACACAGCTTTTGGGGCAGTTTTTCAAACATCTGATGATTTCATCAACTTCTGTTTTCACAAGATGTTTGGCTTTATCATAATCCTGCTTTCAGTTATAGTACGTGTGTGGCCACCACACCTTGCACTCATTTATATACTTATGACCTTTTCAGTTTTCACAGTTTTTTTCTACTATGTAATCCAGTTAGGTATGTATGACTATTAGGTAAACGTGAAAACCAAGACCAAGATCACTAACTAGTTGGTGGCAAAATCAAGACTAGAATCCAGGAACTTCAATTCTTGACCCTTGAGCCTTTCCAGTCTGCCAAGGTGGGCCCGCCTGCCGGAATGATCTCATCTGCCTGAGAAGGGGTTTCAGGATGTTTTTTTCTTAACATAGAAGCTTGACATAGCCAATGCAGATTCCCTCAAGCCAGGCCTCAGCTTCTAGGGGCCCTGTGATCAGCTTTAGTGTATGTTCTGTTTGTCCAGGAAGAAAAGGCCATTGCTTTCTGCGAGGGGTGGGAGCCCTGTTGCTGTCCCTGCTGACCTGGGAGCATCATGTAGTTACAGTATAATTAACTGTGGATGCCCCCCC